GAAGATTCGAATTCTAGGGAATTTATCTTTTGAAGAAAAAGACTAATCTGGTTTTTGCTGGTTGAATACTGACAATGATGCTACTTGACATCGTATCTTACCTCACCTCGGGCACCAAAAATTATTGTGTGGTGGGTTTTTCTGAATCGTGGGGTGTGATGTCGACCAATAGCCAAATATCACCAATGTTGTCGATCGGCTTCCTAAGATCCGTTGGGATGCTTTGAATTGGGTTGTGTTGTGTTGTATTGGGTTGAGTTGAGTTGGGTCAGGCTGAGTTGCGTTGAGTTGATTGGGTTGTGAGAGGCTGAGTTGGGTCAGGCTGAGTTGCGTTGAGTGGAATTGAAGTGAGCTGTATTGAGTCCACACCGGATTGTAAAGTCTTTATTGAACATAATGAATTAGCCGATTTACAATAGGGTTTATATGCATTAGAGAGTAGGAGTGGTTTAAAATAAACGTTTAAAAAAAGGGGGTATTCATTTGGATACAAAGGAAACTGTAAAGGTCCAGTTACATAATAAAGAACAAGAACAGAGGGAAGATTAACATGCAAATTGGAAATTCTTTGTCATTAAAATATAGATGTGAATTTCCGTCAGACAAAGATAACAAAAGAAACGTAGGGGAGATAACTTTAAAGAATGTAAATTGGTTAAATGATTTACACTATTGTTAACATTTATTTACAACAAGGAATTTATTTGTTTGTTTGGGGTGTGGTTGGAGTCTCGCGAATCGGAATTCGCGGCAACATCTACAATATATGTGATGTAATCGAACCATGTTTTCTTTTTCTCTTTCCTGATGTATTTTGTACGTAGCTTTTTATCAATTCCATACATCATCCCTTAAAATGTATATGCTTTAAGTCTCTTTTCATATATTTTTCCTTTGAATATTCATTGTTATGCAACTTAAGGAAGAAAAGGATCGGAGGAGTATCTTTACTTCCCATATTCCGTTTAAAAATTAGAGTAATCTTCTGCTTGCGAAACTCACCTTTCTATAGCACCAACTTTTCTTGAAGTTTCGAAGCTCATAATCTATCTGCCTTGCTTGATTCATACACTACGACAGATGTATCATGTATAAATTCCACTTATGTTATGTTGTATTCTTGAGAAGCTTGCAACTTTTGCAATAATATAATTTACATTTTGAAATGGTGAGGAGACTAACAATAAAACTCAAAAATTAGGTCTACTCTTCCTTGGAACACATCCGCAAGTGAGACCAAAAAGTTTCATACTGTTGCCGACGTGGAAGAGCATGAGTGCAAAGTTTCTATTTGCGGTCGTTGAAGTTGACAGAAGAGGATAGGGGGGTGAGTTGTTGGGTTACGTTTTCACCCATTTAGGAGGGTAAGTCTCCGTTCTGAACGAAAAGCAAACATTTCTATAGGATAGTAATATTCTAGAGAAATGTTGCGACCGTTTGATTGCTTAATTCGCGAGGTTGAGAGCGGTTTTGATTAATCGGCATACATTGACATTCCAGGGCAATCACGTGAATCGTGTAAGTGCTTCGCGATTTTGATTACTGTATTTCTTCACAAATGACTATATATTTGGCCGTGGATTCATCCTTATCAATGCGATTACCTGTTAACGAGAGTGATGAGATGTCGAGGCGGATGGTTGCGTGCCAGTTGGTTTTAAAAACTATCGAAAAGGTCCATTCCTTGGATATGGATCGTAAGATTAAATTGGTCTGTTTAGTCTTTTGCCGGTCTTTTTCATATTGGATTTTTTTGGATGTTTCAAATTATTCTTTTTAAATCTGTTACGCTGTTCATATTTTATAAAAAATGATTTTCGTAGGTTTAACAACAAAGGGAATTACTGGCGGATTTTTAATCCTCATGCTAGACGCTGCACGGTTATTGACGCCTTAGATTCATAATCATCCAGAAGCAGTTAAAAATTAAGTGGGAAACTAAATGAGATGAAAAAGATATGGATCAAGTGCATTTCAGGTTGATTTCTCCCACAATTCAAAAATTATACCATGCGACATACGGAACATTGAAGATGCTGAAAAAAATTTAAATCGGTTTGTGTTTCTCTTAGGTTTTACACGAAGGTCAACAAACTTTCTCTTTTATTAGTCTGGGTTGGAGATTCGTACCGAAATTGCAGAACCGTTCGCTTTTTAGTTTTGAGTTGGATGAGAACATGTAAATTCACTGAATTACAAAGTTAGCATTAACATTGTCCCAAGTTAGCATTTGGTCGCTGTCTTGTTTTTTTTCCGGACTAGAGGTTCATCATTGATCGGCTCATATTCTTGAAAATTTCATAAGCTTGTTTATAAATCGGAGATCATATATGAGGATTTTGCAGCATAGATGTATCTGCCTCAGCTGACCTAATCTCGCTGTTCTTACTGGTAAAGATGGAGAATGACGATGAAACTAGCATCCTTCTAGTGTTCACGGATGCATGCACTTTCACCCCGGTAGGTAAGCCTTTTCATCTGTATTAACGTGATTTGGTAGTTTTAATGCTTCTAACTTTATATGAGTTCTCAATGACTGGAATTTCTTTCCGTAATTTAAGGAGGAGGTGAACTTGACGCATCTACCAAACTGCACTGTCAAATTTGTTTGTGTTTTGGATGAAGTTTTAACGGACGATAATCAGATTGCTCGATTGTGGGCTATTTCGTGTGCGTTTAAATGATCGTTGTGCTTTTTTTATTTCTAGTTTTGTGTAAGAATCCTTGAATAACTGCATCATACATAGGCACAAATGAGTAATTTTAATGTTCATAGTATGGATTAGTATCTAACTTGTCTACCTATTACTGTTACATCTTATCAGTATTATTATCTCCATACAACACCAAAGTTTTTTTTAGTGTTGACGGAAGGTTTCAAGGAGGAATTTGAGTTTGAAGACAGTCGACCCTGGATGCCGTATTTCTTGTCCGATTACGATACCATAGACAGTTATAGTGATGCTCTCGCGAAAGATTTATGTCCCGTACCAACATTTTTGTTAAAATGTGGCTTTTTAAAAGCATATTTCAAAGTATGTTTTGATTAGGAGATTGTTCTGTTCCTTAAATTGACCTTTTTACTTGGAAATCTAAGCAATAATTCGCAGTCGCCGTTGATTTTAATTCTTTTAAATTTTAGACGCTACCATCGGTCAACAACGATGATTGGAACACAGTTGTTGAATTAATTGGCTTCGTCCCCATAAATCATTTAGCAAATATGCCAACCGCTCGACACCATTTTCTTATCTCACACTTGGGTATGTTCTTGTACCAACTTTTACGTTCCGCGAGTTTCTTAAGAAATCTCCCAGACTTATAATCATTTCAGACAGTGAAGACGTTCTAAACTTGATGTGCTCCGCACTACGCTTAGAAGAAAGCGTAGCCATCTGTCGCTTGAATAAAAATTTATACGGCGCATTATATCACATTAGGTAATTTTTTTCGACTAAGTTTTGAAGCAACTTACGAGAAATATCAGTATCCACCTATGTCAAAATTGGCAGTGTTACTTGAATTTATGGATATCGAATTGTTTTGATTAAGTGCAAAGGAAGAAGATCCATCAGTTTCTCGACTTGCAATTGCATCATTCCCACCTGGTCCAATGCCAGTTTCCTGGTTACCTCGATTCACCACATTGTCCTCTCAGGTTGCTTTACCGATTTTGTTAAATTTTTACATAATTTTGTGACACCTTTTACTTTTTCGCGTGGTTGCTGTATATGTGGAAGTGTTGCTTCAATTAATATATGTTTATAGCGTTGCAGAGCGTTGTGGATGTTGAAAATGAAGAGCAGCTGTTCTGTATCAGGAATGATGGCCTTTCTAGGCCCTCATATTCTTCAATACAGAGGACCTGTTGGTATGAGGTTCATGGATTGCAAAGTGACATGCAGAAAATTGCTCGATTACTAAAGAAGATTCCTGATAGGACGTTCTTATTTTATTCGGTATCAAGGAATATCATTGCAGACGTGGCATTTTATTAGAAACACTTCTTTATTCGTAACTCTCTCGTCAGTGTTTGTTGTTTTCAGGAATTAAATAGGATCCATTCTTACTGCTGTGCCATTGGTGCTGAAGATGTTTTGGAAAAGTTAATTCAAGTTTTGCATGAAGAGAGTTCCGCACAATCACCGCTGATTGTTAAACATTCCGTGTACGCGAATGAAAAACTGAGGTAATCCTTGCACCTTCAGTTTTTTATGGGCTGTTCCACTGATGAAGGAAAAATTTAACTTATGGAATGGGATGTTCAAATAAGTGGATTGGTGAAGTAAAACAATAATTGGTAGCTGGGTGCAATCAACTTAGGTTCTGTAATCACCTCTTTGTCCACGAAAAGTTGTTCAGTTATTTGAAATATTCTTTGCTGATATTGTTTGATTCAGGATGTACGGTTTGAAGAATTCAGCAGAAATCCAACCCTTGCAGTAAAAGATAATGGAAGCACGCTACATGGTGGTATATATGTTTTTATTGTTGCATACATTAATAGTGTTTGTCGTTATGGTTTTCAGATACTTTTTCTTGTGAACAACTTCATCTATTTATTCCTCTTTCTCTTTAAGAGATCTTATTATACCTAAAATCATTGTATGGAAAAACTATGCTTTAGAAAACTCCTGTATTTATATCAGTTTTATTGTTAATTAAGGCTTGGGTAATTTTATCGAGTATCAAAATGTATTGACTAAATCATGAACTGTTGAGCGGATTAAACGAAGTATCATTTTCCTTTATTTGGTGTGCTTTATAATGCCCACAGTTTTGTTTTGTATTTTTATTCATTTTGACAGTTTTTGCTGCATTATGCTGAATGAAGTGATCAAATTATGCGGAATTTTTACTTGAGGTTTGATTGGCTTTAATAAAATAAATCAACGAAGACATACGCTGGTTTATTTTTATGTTTTGTTTCTACTTAGATATTTGTACATCACAGTGTTTTGAAATCATAATGATTTGTGTTTCTTTTTATACCCGCGTGTATTACTCTCCTGTGAAGAATAAGGAAATTTGGACTTAATCTTGATATATGTTTTATCCTAAGTCTAAGTATACCACGAAATATGGGGTGCATCCAGGTAAAAAAAATTGTACTGAGGCTGGATCACTGACACCATTGCTTGAGTTTTTCTCTTACCGGTTACCATTATTTGGTGTTTAGTGCGGGCGGCGTTACCGTTAATCCAGTATTTTGCTATACTTTCGGAAGCTCTACATCCAATTTGGGAAATTGAGCAACGTGTCACTGTTATCCTCATTCATCCCATTATTAGAAGGAATAAAGGAATTGTCTACAGTGGAGAGATGTTGGGATTATTTATTGAGACAATGAGCAGTAGATTGAACAAAATTACGTATCACCTCATGATTCGTGCATTATCAAACCAGTTTTTAGTTATCGATGCCCGTACTGTATTCTCGAAATTTATCATCTATTGCAAATAGCCGTTTTTGCTGCTGCCAGACAATAATAGACGGAGTTGGTCTTATAATGATTCTGGTTGGATAAGCTGAAGTTGTTACTGTTTATGAGCGAAAATCTAGATTTTAGTGTAATGTCGCACATGAGAAGTTTCGATTGCTACCGCGTATACTTTGAAACACATAGTGCGAGTGTTTCGAAATTTAAAAAAAATTTCAGATGACACCACAGCGGTTGTTGCGAGTGCTTAGGATATTAAAAAGGTAATGTCCCATGGAATGCTGAAATTGTTTGCTGCTGCTGCGCTAGTGGTCTTTACTGTCATTCTGTTGTTGTTTTCCGTTTTACCGAATTCAACAGAAGGAGTTGGTAAATTTTATATTGGTGTCTTATTCCTCTGCAGTTTCAAATTGTTTGGATACATTCAAGTTATTTGAACTTCATTTGTTGTACTTATTATCAGTTAAGGGAATTTAGATCTAATATTTTCGAGAAGTTCCTGTGTTTATTTTATTTTAGATGACAAAAGTCAAATAGAATGGAACTATTCAATAGTAATAGATGCTGGTTCCACTGGATCCCGTCTTTTTCTCTATAAATACCGTTCTGTAAATGATCGAGAACTAATCGACGTAAAACCAGTCATGGATGAATTATCGTTTCGTCCTGTTGTGAAAAAGATCACTCCTGGATTGTCTTCATTTCGAGATAAACCTGAGGACGCTGCTGGTACTCATACATGTTTTCTTACTGTCTGCCGTTTATTCTGTATTAACACCGATAAGACATGATCTTATTTCCAAATATGCTTACAAACAACACATGAAACATTCCCTGAAGAAAATGTAGGGAATGCAAAGGATAGATTTTTTAATTCCTTGCAGTTTTTAATTAGAGAAATCATTTGAAATAAATTTCTGTTATGTTTTCAGAGTATATTAAACCTCTTCTGGATTATGCAGTTGAGTTTATTCCATTGAACAAGCATTTGTATACATCCCTCTTCATATTTGCAACAGCTGGAATGCGTCTACTTCCCATAGAGTACTGAATTTCGTTTCTTGTAAAATGATAAAAGAATCCACATAAAATTGTTATAGATGTCTGGATACTTACGATAGGTTTTGTGATTCATTTTGGCGCGCCTACATTAGTTTCAGTTTACCGTGACAATTCTACAAGCAATTCAGCTTGTCCTAATATTTTGCAATATTTTTTCAGAGAACAAAGTGAGATATTGCGAAATCTACACCAAAATCTGCCTTTTCAAACAAACGTACAAATCATTCCAGGCCATATCAAGGTTATCGAAGGGAAATGGGAAGGAATTTATTCTTGGATTGCTGTAAATTATATCCTTGGCCGGTTAATTGCTTTTTCTTCAATTTTTAGGGCAGTAGTTTTTATTTTTTCTTAACTAATTGCCGTATTCGCGGTCTTTTACGGAAGTTTGCTCTTGCAGGAATGATTCTATTTCAGATTTGCTCGTAATAGAACAGAATTTTTGCGGCAGCCTACGGTGGGTATAATAGATATGGGTGGCGCTTCGGTACAAATTGCGATTGAATTAAATTTAACTAGTGGCATTGGTGAGTCCGTGGAAAGCATCAACTTGGGCTGCAAGGATAGTGAGCAGACATACAGGTTTTTTCGTGACTTTCTATTATATTCACTTCCAGTTGTTTCTCAATGCACCACTTCGAAAGAATTAAATTAACATATTTTTAGCTACCGACTCTTTGTGACAACATTTCTTGGCTATGGCGTGAATGAAGCTCTTCGGAAGTATGAGCAAAAATTAAGCAACGACTTGGTTATGGATAATACTAATAAGTCTTATATACGAGATCCGTGCTTGCCAGTGAATCTGCTGAAAACAGTAAAAAATAAAGATGGTTCACAATTTAGTCGAAAGGTTAATTTTGTTTTAGTTACAATTCACTTGCTACATTTTTTTAAATTAATGCGAAAGTCACGAATCGTAAGTCTTAAATTATTATAACTAGGTTCGAACACACTAGTCGAAATAAACATCATGTAATTAATGCATTCTTGCCAGCGACAAATAGGTCTTATTCCTATGGCAGACAGATTTTCTAATTAAGTCGGTTGTGGGAGGACTTTTCTCACAAAAGTAATCCAAATAATTAAAGAAGTGGTAATCATTTGATGAGAAGTCAGGTGAATATGGCCGCTGAAGCAAAACTTCTTCGCCCATTCCTTTAATTTTCGAAGCATTGTTTCCCAAGTGGTGGAGAATTGGACCTTTCTATTGACCAGTGCCAGCTGAAAGCGTTATTCATCAATCTATATACTTGGATGTAATGGTTCGTCGGGATTCAGGAAGTTGTGTTGGCACCTGACCAGCAAAGAGTGACCAGTTTGGAGCAACTCCAATCTTGGGAACTGTTTTGGTGCATCTTTTTCGTCCACCCACTGATATGGTCGTCGCCATTTGCCTCATACAATTTACTTACCATTCCACATAATAATCCACCTTGAAATAATTCGTGGTTGTCGTTACAATGAAAGGTAACGGCACTTGAAAAACAGTGATTTTTATTTGTCTTCCGTCAGCTCGTAGGAACTTATTGAACATCTTTCACTTTTTGAATTTATTTCAAATGGCAAGCGATCGTAATTTGATTATGTGAGGATCAGCTTCGACAATTAAGTTATTGCTAACTTTTGATAAAATTTTTTCCTTCAAGGCTTTTATCACTTTCGTATCATTATTTGAAGGGATACTGCACTGTATTTGCAGGGGCCAAACACGTCATCGATATTTCTTTATGGCCCATTGTTAACTTAAAGGAATCAGTCGAATTTGCTTTTTGTCTAATATTTTTTTTTTTGTTTTTAGCCTCAAATAAGTGGAAAATAAACAAAAATAATAAGTCATTAACAAAAAGAACATGAAATAGGCTGCGTACATTAAAGTGATATAATGTAACTACATTTATTTAAGGATGGATCCTAATCTGAAAGAACTAATTCAGATATTACAAATACTGCTTTTACTTTTGCATCGGTCTAATAGTTGCATGGCGTATCTTAAATAGTAGGAAGTCTCATGCACCCTACATTCTACATTATCAGATTTATTTTTTATTATTAGGTTCACGGCGAAAGATTTTAATTTCTTCAGGGTATTGGGGATTGGGACACCTGCATGAAGAATCTAGCGTCTTTATTGACTACAACAGTGGCGAATCCAGAATGTTACGTACAACAGTGTTTGTTTGGGCTAGTTCGTTCCCCCTCCATTTCTCTATCAGAAATTGAACTATATGGCTTCAGTGAGTATTGGTTTTCGCTGCAAGATGTTTTATCCATAGGCGGACAATATGATTTCAGTAAAACGGCATCAAGAGCACGTCAGTTTTGTCATATGAAATGGTCGACGATACAGGTTTGTCTTGTTATACCAGTAATAAATTATAGAAATGTTTTATTCCTTTCGTACCGTCATTACTTAGTTTATGATTCCTCGACCGTTGAAGCTTTGATTTGGTTTTCAGATTTCTTTGGCGTGACAAACAAAGCTTTTAAACCTTCGGGATCCTTTATTTGCTACTTTCATTTTATCTAAAGTCCACCGCTCGCAAATATTACCGTCTTTAGAAAAAGTAAAAGTTTTATGCTTCTTCTATATTATCCAAGTGCACAGGAAAGTTTTGGTGAATACAGTGTTGAAATGGTTGCAGATACAATATCGGAATAATATCTATCCAAAAGCGGATGAAGATCGACTGCGATCACAGTGTTTTAAATCAGCTTGGATAACAGCTGTTCTCCATGAAGGCTTTTCCATTAGTAAAACTCATAATCGTTTTCGATCTGTTTTCGATGTTAATGGACAAGAAGCGCATTGGTCGTTAGGAGCTCTGCTGTATCATATGAGGTTCGTCATTTCTTGATTTCGCAGTTAGTTACCCACTGTTTCTTAACCAGTCCATGAAGCTTCTAAAATCATGTTTGGGCTTGAATAGTTCTCATAAGGAGAGGAAGGTTTTGTAAACCCTATTTCTGCTTTTGTTAATGAGAATCTTATTCTGAATATTTTTGTAAAGTCGTGGATTGCCTTTCAGTTGAGTAATTAGTTTATTTATGTAGTGTACATTTCGCCGTTGCTTCAGAAATTTATTGTTACAGATATTTTCCACTTCGCGGAACTATACAGCGTAAGCTGCAATATCCTAATTACCGAATAGTTAGTGATCGAATCCCTACATATTGGATTATATCGCTAGTTTTACTCGTTGTTATTGCATTGTGGGTATTGTACAAGGCTGGTAAGAAGCGGTCCTTACGACGTGATTCATCCATGTGGGGGTATATGGCATTGTTGTTATCACAGGATCAACTTTACATGCAGCCTTAATTGTATTTATTATTATGTAACCAATAGGGAGATATTTTTATTGGAATAGATTTATCTCTTATTAATCTTGTTCGTTATTAATCTTTCACTTCAAAATTGCATATCACTGAGGGAAAAAATTAAGATCTTAAGCACAACAGCAAGTAATATGAGCGAAAAATTCAAACTAATTTTTAGTTGTACCGGTTTTAATTCTGTTGCTTTTGATATTTTTTGTTGTTACATTTTTCTGTGTCTCTGTTGCAGAGTAGATGTTTGAAATCCGGTTTTCCCAGTTGGATGTTAATGTTAACGATGCTAAACTTATTAGCTCATTTTTGTGTCCTAACTTAATTTTCACTTTATTGAGAAATCACTATTAAAAACTAAATGATTGTTATTTGTATTATAGTTGCATCATTTCTCTTTCTTTGCCTTAGTTTGGAAAATGAAATGCAAACTTTTTTCTCCAAACAATATTCAGGAACGAGTAAAAAAAGATAGTAGTTTTACTGTCGTAAATTTTTTGGGATAGACGGTTTATGGCTTCAATGCCTTCAATCTTGTTTTCTTTTGAAAAAATAGCGTGCTGAAGTTGTAAGAAATCGAAAGATGAATTCTTCTCTGCTAGATCCATCTACAACGTAATCTTGTCACCGCTGTTATGTAGTGTTTTTCAGTTTTTTTTTCCCCCATCTTTTTTTCTAAGACTGGCAGAATGGTTTCACAACTCGCCCTAGAAAAGGTCGTATGAGTTAGGTGCGCATTCGAGTTACACACTTGTAGAATTGTAATCTTTTCACTACTTTTATTCTTCTGCCTAAGAACTTTAAGCAGAATGTTTCGTGGGCTCATGATTTCACATTTCACATCGGATAAACTTGTTTTGAAACTTTTTTCTCACTTCGAATCCTATAAATTTAACGACGACTGCAGCACAGTTTTTCGGGACTGCAACTCAGGAATGGAAATATCAGGATGGTCCTACATCCTATTTCATACATGCAAGTTTACACTTAAGAAACAAATTTTATTTCGTCAATGCAGTATGTTATAATATATACAGGTGTGTTCAAGGATGCGGGGCGAAAAGCTGTAATAAATTGATACTAAGCGGCAGGATGGATATTGAAGGGATGCGGAAAGATGATGCTGCCGTTCAAATTTTAGGATAAAAAAGGAATGGATTTGATTATATAAAAGGAATTATTAAGAGAAAAAGACTGATTTCAAAATGTCTACAATACTAGCAATAGATGGTGCGGGATTAATATCAGTGATTCATCTTGTCATACTTAAGGTTCCATGAGGTATAAAGTAAATGGTATTGTTCAGTGAGAATAAGCGCCGAAATTTTTGATAAATTAAAGAGAACTATATATCACATTTCGTCTTATTCGGGAAAGAAACACTTATTACAATACGAAATTTGGGAAAAAGAAAAAAATGGCACTTGGAAAGCAGTTAATGTACTCCTCATCCACTCTTGCATTTTTCTGGACAATATATATATACATAATTTCTTAGGTATGAAAGAAATATACAGGGAGATGAGTTAACAAAAAGTGAGTTTGCAGCAAAATTCATTGTTTTCGAGTTTAACTTGGTCCATTTCCAGTGTTAAAAAACCATGCTGTGGCAAAATGTATTATTCAGAAAAACTGGAGTAGGGTTGATTTGGTCTTGATAGTTTTAAATATGCACAGAAGTGCTTCATGACGGATGAAGAGTGTGCCAAAGAGATTTGGACTGAAATGTTAGTTTTAAGTTTTTTAATGAAGAGACAAAGACAGCTCCGAGATGTAATCAGTACAAGAAAACTGGTTCATTGACAGAAATATCGACTGCTCGTGATTTAAGATTTTACAGAGGAAAATGCTTAGAAAATATGATTCCAGTCTCTCAGAACTGCTATTTTTAAAAGTGATTTGATTCTTCATGTACTAAAGAAAAAGCAACTCATGCAAAATAATGCTGTGCCGTGCACTTACTGAAATTTATTTTAAACTAACTTTGATAGTTTTGAGCCAGAAAAAAGGTCTCCAAATTGGTCACTTTTTACGAAAGTATGGGTAATGTCACTGAAAAACAGGCGCTGTCGGTTGTGAAAGCGAGAAACGTCGTGGACGATCTGCTTCTTCCATTGAGCTAAAAAAAAAAAAAAAAAAAAGAAAAAAAGAAAGACGAACGTTTTTGAAAAACGTTAAAAACGTTAAATTACTGAGAAATATGAATTCAATCCCATACACATTACAATGTCGATTATGCTTTATTTATTTTCTGTGATTTGAAAGTTCTCTGTTCCTGCCTTTTTACTTTTAGATGACATAAAAATTCTACAGACCTGCTTAGTGTACGTTGCCGCTCCATTCCAGGAATGGCTACTCCAGATAACACACCACAACCTTTACATAACAAAATTAATGAACGTGCCAGTTTTTCGGGCTAAAAATTTAGACTATTCAGATATGCATAGATGACTTAATTACAAAACATTCAAGTGTGGTTTTTGTTACATTTTAACTTATAAAGAACGAACCGCTTCAGCCATTACATCACTAACGTTATCCACAACCAACAGTGTCGTCTTTCGCTTATTCATTGACTTATGTGTAGTGTAGACAGTATGCAAATGTGATGCCCGTGCACCAGTAATCAAAAGCGCATCCATGCTGTAAATGTTTCATTTATTAATGAAAACTACAAACTTATGCGAACTTGTTTCGAATGCAAAATTCATTTTCTGATCAACAGCTTGAATAAAATGTTGCAGTAAAATTATTTAAATTTTCAAATAGAAAGTAATAACAGACAATTAATTTAGAAAAATCAAAACCCTGGAAGACAAAACACTCATTTTTTTCGATGAACAAAACCTCACATCTAGTGAATTCAGCTACTTATCCGATAACAAAAGTGTAAACTAACTTATTCAACTTAGTACCAATGAGAGATGATATGTCACTCCTCTTTGAAAAACTATAGAGATATTTGCTAAGATTCTTCGGATTCAAGCAACTCTTCAGCTCTTCAATATATGCCTGCTTTTCTCGTTTGTCGGTCTAGAAAACGATACGTTAACTGAAATTATTTCCGAACTGTCAATGAAAATATGAATATCATATTTCGCTCATTCTACCACGAACATTTTGAAACAATGAACTGAAAGCTTACAGATCCAAACTTGTGCATTGTGAGGTAATCCCACGCACCTTGTGACATGACACCTGACTCAAGCCGCATGTTGATGAGCTGTAATGATTAGAAAATACCTCGTGTTAAAGAAATTACAAAAGAATTAAACAATGATGGAAAGGTCCAAAGAATAAATACAGCGGCAGCGCAAGTGATATGTGAGTATGAAAGGTGAATTTATTATGGAATCCACTGCAATCAAGTTGAGATTTTCTTGAACTCGAAATAAATTCTAATTCCTAACAAACAAGAAACCACACTTTCTGCACTGCCCATAAAAAAGATAGTTCCTACAACAAACTTTATCCTTGCAATATTCAATAATTCCGGCGGTAGTTGAAGTACAATGCACCAAACAAATTCCCATAATTCGATTTGGAGAAGACATCTGCAAACTTACGCAAGATTACTACATAATTGATAGCACGTTAGCAGTCTACTGTAATGTATTTAAAACTCTGAAGCAACTTAGTCTTGTCACCCACTTCTGCCTAAAGTGACCAGACCTTAATAAAGCAAACCTGAAGTATGGCTGCTTGCCAATTGAACAAATTTAAAAATAAACATGACAAACTAGTTCGCAAAGCAGTATGCAAATTCTTTATGGTCATATCATGCCTAAACACTGAATATAGTACAGCAAGTTGGGAAAGAATTATGCAATAAAAAAAAAGAAGAAATGGGCGCACTAAACTTACAGCAAAACGACAAATAATATTGGCACCAGCGCCTTCACCAAATGCAATGCATGTTTTCACATCTAATTTATCGAGTATACAAACAAGATCTTCACCAAGTTGATCAAGCGTTGGAAAACTGAAAGTAATGGCTTATTCTGGATTTCACTAAGAAATTTAAAATTCAAACTAGTCCAGTAAAAAAATCCGGCTTCCTAACTACTACAGTAAAGAAGATATAGCTCTCACTGATACCTTTATTCAGTTACAGCAAAATTATCTCCCTCGTTTAATTAGAATACGGAAATTAAATTATCTTCAATCAAGCTTACAACAAACGGAACAAGAATCTCAGTTTGAAAACACCATTTTCAAAGAAAGTTAACAACACTGTTCAAATAAATTCTTAAATTCTTTCCATAGAATCATATCTGTAGGCTTCTCTAAATTAACAGGAATTCCATCATGCTGATTAGATTATTTTTAAAGTTCAATTCAAATAAATGAAACAATATAAGCGACTACTAACTCTCCCATAAAATCCGGTGCATTGTCTTCCTGACCAGGAATGCAAACATGCAAAAAAATTGACTTCGCTTTTACATCAGCCATTGATAGATGGTTGCAAAAGCGCACAAAACTTTTATCTGCAAAGGAAATTAAGAAAGGACGGTTCTAAACAACAGTACTTCACAACTTCAAGCATAAACCTTTAGCAAGATCTCTTACAATGAGCCCACATTGGTACCAATATAAACGTAAGTGCAAAGCTCGACCAACGACGAGCTAAAACTTTCAGCACAATATCGCGATATCGGTAATAAAGGAAGAAAGTTTAGAAATAACTGTCAAAATAACTTAACATTGAAAGTGCATGAAATAAATTAATAAAAGAGCAATAAGATTAAATGTTCCGATCCATTCGGATGTGCCAGATTAAAAAACAAAGAAGAAATGTTTTTCATTTTTCCTTCTCACTTAACGCCATACCATCACGCTGTAACCTTCATATGTTCATAGAAGCATGCGAGAAATACAGCGTTCATTAGAAATTCTAGGAATATCAGATCATTCAGTGCAGCTATCTCAGAGCAGTAGTAGAGAACTACAAACCGAACATGGACATTAACTATCAAAGCAAGGAATCTTAGTGCAAAAGCTGATCACGTCGCCAATAATTACCATATCATTAACTACCGAAAACTGATCACTTCCATAATTTTTTTAATGAATTCGAAAACAGTGCATAAAACAAAGTGCTGAATACAGAAATGCACAAAAATTAAATGGAAAGTCTACTTCACCGTCTTTATGTATCAGAAAATTACAGGTAAATTAACTCGCCAAATTATTGCTTTATAGGAAATTTCATAAAAATTTCTTTCAAAAATAACTAAGTGAGATCGATGGGACGTACAATTTGTTCCAAGGTCATGTACAGTCATAATGATAGTTTTGCCATTCCGGTCATCTAAATTGCCTTGAACGTACACATGTATAAAGCCACACTTCGTAGTTTGTATCGAAATCATCTGTAAAATTGAAGTAACAAAGGTATCGCAGACGTAACAATAAGTACAAATTCTAAATGTTAATTGCTTCCCAACAAAATGCTTGGAAAAAAACATGAATTGAATATGCTAAAGGCAGCTTCCGAATAACGAAATCTCGAAACTAACTTTGACTCAAGGACTTGCATTCACGTCAAAGAGTAGATGACAGAATATATTTACGGTGAAAGGAAAGTAAGAAAAGCACAAGCGTAACTCCTAGTTTCAGGCACGATCATTCTACTTGCTGAACGTTTTAAACCAGTAAATAATATCTGATTTCTTGTCAACAACAATTTAATCCTATCCTTTATGCACTTCCGCGCATTATCCTTCCGTATCATTGGAAAAAAACTTTCTCATATATATTCACCATTAAAACTATCCAACATGGAAAGAGAAAAAAAAAAACGTCTTGCTGATTGTTGGAGAATAAGCCTAGCCACCTATGACTTTTTTAAATGAATGCGCGAGTTCCGAAAATTCGTCATTCTCTTTAAAAGCAATTAATAAGCATGAGAAATTATTTCAAAAATAACCGTTACTTAGACAGTTTATAGATGAAACGGAGAAAGCGAAAAGAAAATCAGAAGAATTACAGCACTGGTCATATCCATCTCTACTTTGATAGGATTTTCTGGATAAAAGTTCCGGATAATGTAAGGTATTTCAAAAAAGGATTAGAATTCAAAGGACTGAAATTTTCCACAACTATAATTTATCATGAATGAGCTTGAAAAATGTTGCCCGCTCACAACAAACGAATGCTCATAAATCCAAAAAAAGTACAATAAATATAGGATGAAAATTAGTAATGACAACGGCTGTATCGACAAAAACAAACAAATTATATATTAAACATACGCGTGTGTGTATGCATGTATGCGTATGCATGTGTGTGTGTGTGTGTGTGTGTGTGTGTGTCTGTATGTGTATGCGTGTGTGTGTGCATGTATATGTGTGGATGTGTGTGTATATTATGTATGTGTACCGATTACCTTTTTACAAGAGTTGGGAAAAAAAACTCATATTTCTAATTGGTGTTTTTTTTTTTTTTACAAACACCTGTCAAGTTCTGAAGGTCTTGAACTAACCAGTTAAAAGTTCGATGGCATAATTTCGTATTTAGATAAATTTGAATTAAAGCAAAAAACAAAGATTGTCATGAAAACAAGTGATTTGCAGAATTTTTCGAAGAGGATTAAGCTAAATAATGTTCGCTTTACCCGAATAGCACTCGCATTTAATACTAAAATATCTCAACCGTACAAATTTCCTTCACAATGGAAATCACTGGACAGTGAACTCAAATAAGTTACCTCCAATTCCTCGTACATCTTGTCACAAATCAGTTTGTTGCTTCCCAACACCTGTAATGGAAGAATCATTGAGATAAAGTGCAAAAATTCGTTTCATGAGCGGAAATTGAACAACAACACAGTGAATGAATGCATACCAGTAAGATGCTATCGAGAATAGATAGAAATTACTACACTGATACTGCATTGGGAGTGAAGAGGGAAGAAGGGACTCACTTTCTTTCAAGCATACGAACAGTTAAAAACTAACAGTAGGTTTAGGTAGCAATCCTTGAAATGAAAAGCAGAACAGCTATTGAACAATTACGACACATTTAGTGAGAAGAAACTGTAACATATCACAAGGAGAAATCATATTGATACGATCTGATAAGACAACGGATAAAATTATGATAATGATAGCCAAATTCTAGTATGAAAGTTATCATTTCCGAAAGTTAGCTTTTGTATGGATAATAATTGAATAGCATTCACGGCATACTCCTATGCTTCCCGTTTTGAACAAGTACGTTAAATTCAACCATTCTCAACTTCAACCTATTGATCAATATTCTTTTTTACATCAATTTTCCGATATTTCAAATGTTGGTAACACAACATAAAGGTGATTTTTTCCTTTCTTCGATATTACGAATAATAAGAGAGGCTCTCTGCATCTACACAGAGTATAAGAGTATAATTGAATAAGGTTTAAAAGACTAATTAGTAACATAACAACTCAACCACTAATTTTTTCATATCAATCTTCCAGTCTGATCATTGCCTATTACTGTCTCTGGTATCAACGAGGTTGATGAGACAAGTCGAAGGAATGTGTCATTGCCGTTTTTCCCAATGAGCAAAACAAGCGATTGTTATGCCTGACTTTACGAACAAAGTGGGAATAGTAAGTATATTATACAGTGAAGTTTACTTTTACAATCATAATAGATGATATCATACTATGACCCTTCCCTTCTTTTTCGTTTCATATTTCATCATCATTTCATTAAATAAAAATCGATGTAGGAAGACTAATAAGGAGACGACTGATGACTTTAATATTACTGCTACTGAGGAGGGCAATTCTTCATTATCATTTCAAATTATTTTCCTTTTTTTTTCTGCAACAAATTTTCGCACTGAATTATTTTAAAAACATTGAAATTTTCACTCCATAAATAATTCAGTTGGAAAAGATCGAGATCGTGCTGTAGCTCAACTGTCATAATCCATTAGGTGCTATGTGAAAAGACAAATAACTCTCAGAGGAAAAAAAAGATAAGTTTATATTGGAACATTGGATGAGTACATGCCACTATAATTGGCCAAGGATGAATATGAGTAAGGATATGTTGAACGGACAAAAATCTGATAGAAGTAAAGGAAGAATAGTTTGTTTTTTGGATTCGGGAATGCTTCAAAAATCCAATTGACAATTTTTTGGAGCGTGTATTTTTTT